TCTGACACACCTTTTTAAAAATTTAAGTCTCCAAGTGTGACCCCCATTAGGTAGCACCTAAAAGCAGGCCAGGCTGGAGACACAACATGCATAAATAATTTACTTATTTAGCTTTTTAGTGGGGTGTTTTTGGACAAAAGTCCAGGGTCGTCTTGAGCATGCGAACACGAATTTATTTAGTGGCAGTTTCTGTCTTGATAGCAGACAAGACCCAGAAATTTGCAAATTCCCCCAACTCGGGCAAAAATTCCCATTGATGCTGAGCCATCAATGTCCCCCGGCAAGTCGTCCCAGGAGGCGCTCAAAACGGTCAGCCATTGGTTGTTTTCCTTCTAGCTTCACCCGTGGATTCTCCATCTCTCCATCGTTCTCACCTCTCCATTTTCCAATTTCCCTCATACTCGTAGCTCCCCTCCGTCGCTTTCCTTTGCCAGTTGTCCTTTGTTTGCGGCAGTTAAAATCTTTAAAGGGTCTTTCCATGACCCGTCCGATTCTCTGTTTTGTCGAGAAGTGGTATGTTTGCTGTGGTTTGCTCTTTCCTGGGCTTGATTGGGGCTCGAATCTGATTAGATTTTGCTCGAAATTAAGGAAGATTAACAGAGCTTACTGCGTTAGCTACAATAATAATAGGATTTAGGGTTTTGGAATACATCAATTAGGTATGGTCACTCTTGAACTATTAATACGAAAGGTTTGAAAAGGGATCAACGAAAAATAATCACTCTGGAACTAACCACCTGTATGTACGATGGAGTTCCTAGGGGCACAGATGGATAATTGATTGATTCCGAATGCTTATCCAAATGTTTAGTGTTTAAGTTCGGATTAAATCTCTTCCCTCTCCGACAACTCCCCTTCTTTCTTGCCTGCACCACCCACAAGCTCTCTCTCTCTCTCTCTCTCTCTCTCTCCATGTCGCCAACCTCAACTCTGGTGCTGTCATCCTCCACGAAATATCAAGTATACGCTCTGTTGTGTCCACACTCTTCGGCGACGGTTGCGGCCCTTCACTAAATACCTTAATTGCCTTTAACAATGCCTTAATTTTCTGCTTATACTCGTATGTTTGAGGGGGCAGACAAGTGCTGGGAGCACAACAACAATAGTACCCAATGCGCTATTGTTCTGTCGTCCCTCACACAGATTCTCATATACGCATACATACATACAGCCCATACTTGTGTGCATGGTCACAGGTCGTACTCACACAGTCATGCACTCCATTATAAGCAAATATTTTTAGCCTCATTTCAGCTAAAGACGCTTAAGCACGTTATAACTTTCCCCCTGATGAGGTTGTTTTTTCTGCCAAGCACTCATACACTCACACACACACACACACACACACACAGACAGAAAACTGACGTTGATTTACCTAACAAGCGCAACTCAAAGAACAAAAGGCAAAAGGCAACGCGATGGTAAAGGGAATCCTGTTGTTGTTTTCATTTAAAGTGATTTAAAAAATTCAAAGGGCAATTGTCAGGACACACACACAGATATATACACACTAGGCTACATCCATGCACACAAGCGCGAAGAATCAGCCCTTGTCCATCAGAGACAGAGCAACAGTGAGGGTGGTAGGGAGGGGAGTCGAAAGAAAGGAGCTCTCGGCTCGCCTTTTGCATCGCTCTGAAGGGGGGACATTGCTTCTTATTGTTAACGTCACTTTTGTTGCTACGGTTCTTGTTCCCTCTGCTGTTGTTGTTGTTGTTGCAATTCTTGGTGCTGCATTTAAACACATGCAATGCAACACACACCCACAGTCACACATGTGCAAGGAAAAGGGTACAAAAGACACTCAAATCCCGTTGTCCGCTATCCACGAATTCGCTGCCCCTTTTACCCACTCACTCGACTCGATCTCTCACTCTCACCAGGCAGGACATGGACTCATTGTGTGCATGTGTGCAGCGCTGATTATACCCAGTACTTAAAGTCTCCTGGAAGGGTATATTGTATGCGAGTAAACTATTGTAATTGAAAGAAGAACACAAAAAACAAACACACTCAAACTGATCAAAGTTGTACCTCAAATATAGATTCGACAAGGACGAAGCTAACTCCATGACTAAATAGCGGGTACATCCCAGTCGAAGTAACATCCAAATTATTTTTCTTCGTTCCTTTGAAAAATACGAGCAGAAGAACAATGATAATGTCGCATGCTAAATTACATGCAATTATGTTTTTTTTTTCCTTCTATTTTTCTGCTGACTTTTCCCATTCGCTCCCCACTCCGTGAAACATTACCTCAACGCCCTGTCGCCGCTGTCAACGCCAACAGTATGTTAATAACAACAGCAACAACAACAAGAACAACAAAATGAAACAGAAACAAGAAACAGCGCAAATGAAGCGGAGTGCCTGGTTACTGCAACTGGCACTGCATCTTCCCATTTGCCATCCCTGCGTATAATTATGGCTTGGAAATTGCTGAATGGGTGGAATGGGTGGAATGGTTCAATGTGGTTAAAGGATAAAGGAGCTATTAAGTACTACATACCTCACGCCAACCCAACCTGAGAACAACACTCAGAACAGAAACCCTTCTCACATTAGCTGACATTTGACTGTCTCCCGTCTGACATTCTACAATGTTTTCGGTTCTCTAACTTTACAAATACCATGTTCCCAATTAAGTTTTCATTATGCTAGTCAAATTTTTTTCTGTGGTTGGATTCGTACTCAAAGCTGATTGACTGAGAATTTGAAGGGTTAATTATATCCAAGAGCTATGGCAAGGTCTAGCATGTGCCAGTGCAATCATTTCAACCCAAAGGCTTCTCAGACCTTCTGTTAATAACAGTCATGGGTATAACAGTTTCAAGCAAAAGCCCATAAAAATACTGGGAATTCCGCCACTACACGAAATAAAGGACATTCTTCGACATCTAACGGCAAAGGAAAATAACGTATGTAATGGAATTTCCGAGAATTTATTCGGGACTTTTTTTGGATATATTTTAGGAATATATTTTTGTTTAAAAATGTGCATTATTATATTTTTAGTGCATTTATTTCGACTGAGGCGATAAATGATTAAATAGTTTTCTGTTAGAATTCAAATTTGGCTGGGAATTTCCGAAATTCCTCTGGTTAAATCAGCTCGGATTCTGCGCCTTGTTTCGAATTTGATATCGAAACCGAACCGAAAAAGGACGAGCAACACGAAGGCGACCACAGAGCACGACAGCGTTGTGAATGGCGCCCGGAGCGCAGCGCCGGCGATGTGATGAATCCGACGAGGAGGGACAGAGAGCCGCACGAGACAGCAGCAGCAGCAGTAGCAGAAGGAGCAGCACGTACGAGCAGACACTGGTGAGAATGAGAGCGAGCAATTCGTGAATATTTCATGAACGAGCGCGTCACGGAGCGACGAGAATAACGGTATTCGGTCGCAAATGGTACTGCAAACGATGGCAATGGCGGCGATGGCGACTCGTTCTCGTCCTCGGAGAGAAATGTAGGGAAACGCATCCTGTCGTTGTCGTCGCCGACGTCGCTGTCGTTGCCGCCGTCGTCATTATCATCGTCGGCAGAAGGAAAAGCGCCTGGTTCTGAACTTCAACCGTTTGCCACCGCCACCGTCGTCGCTGTTTGCTCTTGCTGCCGCTGTCGTTGTCGTTTGCCGTTGCAGTGGCAGTGGCTGTGGCTGTGGCAGCAGCGCCTCTGAATTTTTGGCCAATGCGTGTGCTGCTGGCGTTCAGTAAGAAAAGCGTCGCCCAGCGGTCTAGTACGAACGTATACCGAACGCTTTGTGTTCTTCCTGTTCTTTGGGTTCTACCTCCGTTACCGTATTGAATAGACGACGTATCCGAAGAGAAGAGATAGTGTGTGTGTGCGTTGATCTCGTCTCTTTTTGGTTCCGGTGCGTTACTCGAAACAAACTGAAAATCTTAAACTGAGATCTGCCTTGAAAACTAACCATAATGGCACTTTTTGTTTTGTTTTGGGGGAAAGTGTGCTCCACAAATGATCTACTGAGAGATCATGAGACCTGCCTTACTTTTATCATTAGTCCTGATCCATATTCTGTGACCGCCTTTAAGCCTGTTTCACAGTTAGGGCTTTGATTCCATCGTCAGCCACAAAACTTTTTGGCGACTTTCATTAAACTTTGACAAATGTTTTCAGATGATTTTCCTTCAGTCAGTGACTTCTAAAGTTCGCTGCAAATTTGCGCGCGACGAAACTCATTTGTGGAAGCTGCCGGCTAAATAATTGCCTGCAATTCCTCTTCTGGAAACTTTAGAAACCCATTGCCCATTCCCCATAGACATTTGCTTGTTGTTTTCTTTGTTTATTTTTTTATTTGGATATTCATTATATATCACTCCGCTTTTTGCATGACATTCCGAATAACAGACATTCAGGCCCCGTCTGGGGGCACATACTCGTATTCGTTCAGACATATGTACGAGATGTTCGAATGACAGGAATATTTATAATTTCCGCTAGGGCCTCCACTGTGTCTGTGCAGACACAACAGCAACTAAAGATATATAATCGTATAGAGCGGGAGAAATAATTTGCGATTACTGGCAGACAGAAGGCAGGCGAAGAAATCCATGAAACGATAACCAACATAACGAAACGGGCCAAAAAAAATTACAAGCCAAGTGCGCTTGAGTTCGTGTATTTCCGGTTGAACAAACACATAAGCGAAACATAAAAGAAAGGCGAACGAGAATTATAAAAATACTCGTAATAAGTCAGAGCAGCACATGCGAGACGAACACGGCCAGGACGAGCCGAAACGCAGCCAGAAGGAGCAGCGCAGAGCAGCCATCAGCATAAGGCACAAAGGCCACAAGGAAAAGCTCGAAAAGTGAAAATACATAGAGTCGGCAGCCACCAACCAGCAGCACCCAGCACACAGCACCAAGCACCCAGCAGCGAGCATATTTCATAAGTTTACAGCAGCAACACTCGCTTATATATAAAGCGATTATATATATAAATATATATAATATATATATATATAAGTATATATATAAGCCAAGCCGGGAGCAAGCCAAGAGAAAGCAAACCAGAGAACTAGCCAACGCTAGAGCCAGAGCCAATGCCAGTGCCAGTGCCACAGTCATCGCATATGTGAGACGGTGGCGACAAAGGCGAACCCACGACCTTTGGCACCGAGTTCAGGCAACTGCTAAGGAGAGGTCAGCGAATCAATAGACAAGTGGAGAAACAGCGCGCAAAAGCCCTAAGGCCGCCTGGATATAGAACACCCGTAGAAAGCGACCAAAATTCACTCGCAAATTATGCTGACCATGTCCACTCTGATGATGCCAGCACCGACTATAGCCATGGGTGCACCGCAGATCACAATGGGCCCACACAAGCCGCCGGAAACGAAGCTCCTGGCCATCCATCCAGCAGCAGCTGCTGCCGCAGCCGCCCAGCAGCAACAGCATCAGCAAACGGTGACAGCTGCTCATCTGCAGCACAATGGCCAGCAGCAGCATTCCCAACAGCAGCAGCAGCAGCAACAGCAAATGTCGCAACAACAGTCGGCCGTGCAACAACAACAGCAGCAGCAGCAGCATCAGCAGATGGTTGGCAGCAACTCCAAGCCAGGTGAGTGGGGGAATCGGTGACTCTCAATAGTTTTTTAGGAGGAATGTCCTCTGGCTGGCATGGCAATAGTCACCTCCGGTATGGGTGCTGCATAAATTGAGAAATGTCGTTTCCATTTCACCCCGAGAATGAATGTTTCGAATTTCCTGTTCGATGGTGGCAATGACTGTGATTGGTTCTGGGAAATTGCATTTAGCATTACGATGTGGGTGAAATGGTTTCTTTCGAGTGTATAATTCCAGATAAAAAAATATGCATCGGAATTTACAAAAAAAAAAAATCAAAGTGCACCAAAAACCGACTAACCAAGCTCTGGTTTAAAATGGTTTTAGGTTCATAAATAGACTAGGGATAATCATACCTTAAAATAAAAATAGTTTTTTTTTATTCAATAACTAAAGATTGGGAAGATTTCTTAAATTATACAAAATAAATTACTCCCGCTCATCATTGACTAATTTTACTATTTATGTTCTAAAGTTCCAATAAAAATTGAATTATGCCTGTACCCACAATTATTGCTACAACTATAAAAAAAGAATAAATTTTACAAAAAACTAAATCTCAGACAAAAATAATTCAGTGCACACACAAAATTTTGCAATCAAAAGCCATTCTTTGCAATGTCTAAACTATAATAGTCTTCCTTTGACTGGCAAACAAAAAAAAAAAAAAATCCCACACAGCCCATCTTTGCAGACGGGAGCTTAAGTATTCAAATCCATGTCCCAACAATGGCCAAGCAATTACATTTCTAGACAGAAACACCTGAAGGCAATGTATCTGTTGGAAAAGCCTATCATATTTATAGAAATTTGTATGCGTCACAGGGCGAAAGCATCTAGGCAACACATTCAATTAATTGTCCTTCCCCTGACGGCGTCCGAGATTTTTAGAATTCCGATAAAGCAAAATTTCTAGAGAAATAGTATTACTTTCGGATATTTTTGAATGGGGGTGGGGAAATTCTCGTTGCTGCAGTGGGAAACCTCAAGCTCAGCTTCAGAAAATGCCAAGCGAATGACCAAATTCGTACACGTAATCTGAAAATAACAAAATTCGAACACGCATTTCCAAGATGAATTATTGTGGAGTTGCTCCACACCTCCTCACTACCACAGCAGAGAGGTCTGACGAAGCCTGGCCCTGGGTAGCCCAAATGTCAAGCGGAGGCATTACAAGCATAAATATCAGTTACAATTTTCATATTTTTAACCACAAATGAAAAATTTGATACAGCCCCGACAGAGATTGGATTGGGGACTGCCACTGGCACTGGGACTGCCACTGGCACTGGGACTGGGACAAAGCAAGGAAATTGCATAGTCGAAGAGATTTACAACTTAAAAACAACTTAAGCCGAAACTTGGAAACAAAAAGCGAGCCAAAGCAGGGAAAGGACCAGTGCAGAGGCTTTTCTCCGAATTCTAGGCCTGCCACAGATCCAGGGCCCCCTCCAGCTCCAGCCTCGTCCTGCCACGTCGTGACTACGGTTGCTAATGGCAGAAACTATACAGAAATAGACACTGGCAGGCATAAAACCGGAAGCAATGGCACAGGAAGCTGCATGAAAATGAAACGTTGGCAACGAGATGAGCGGGCGGAGGCAGACCAGCCTCTTTCTCCGCCTACTGACTTTAGACTGTAATGAAAAATGGAAAATGACTACTAAAAATAGTGGAAACTTGAGTGTTGTGTCGGTATGTGTGTGTGTGTGTGTGTTTCTGTTTATTTGTGTGGCTGTGTGTCTGTCTATCTGTCGTTGTGTTCTCAAAAGGAAGGCAAGAGCGCAACTTGAAAATGAATTTAATTATGGCAAAAAAGTGAAAATTTCCACACTTGAGTCTGAGAAGTTTGCCTTTGCCCCAGGATGTGGTCGGAATGGGCTGCAGATTGGGATGCGGCTGGAGCGGGAGCGGGAGCTGAGACCAAGACCAGACCCAGGCGTTGATGAGCGTGAAAAGTGTGAGAAAATTACTAGACAACACAAGGCGAGGCATAAATAAGAAAACCGACAGCCCCAACACCCGGTCGGGGTGAAAGTGAAGTGTCTGCCAGGCTACCAGTCTGCCAGCCTGAGCATTGTGTAAGTTGGCTTAATGCGAACCCGAGAGGAGAGTAGACGAGAGGAAAATTGAGGAAATAGTGGCCAGAAAAACCGAGTTAGGTTCTACGGTTAGGCAGGGATATGGAAATGATATGGCCCCGACTTGAGCACAATTGACTTGGAGATGAGACCACTTAGTTACTAATTAGCAGAGTCGGAAAAAGTCGACAGTCCACAAAGAAAAGCAAACATTGATTACCAGGCCAAATGATTGCAAATTGAAAATTAAGCACGCCGCTGAATTTCCAATTCAAATGGGGGAAAACTCGACGCAGACGGTGGAAAGCTGCCGGCAAACAGACACATGCATATCAATTTGTATATGTATGTATTCAGTGCCAGCACCAAGACCAGTACCAGACCCAGTAGCACTAACAGTAGTGGCAGAGGCGCACGGTGCATGAACTTTCGAGCAGCACTTCTACACAGAGCGAGAAGGAGGGATGGTGCGGAGAGGGAGAGGCAGTGGCAGTGGCAGGTTACACCTACATGCCGCTGCAAAAACAAACAGCGACTGCGAGTTTGTGAAGTGTCGCAACTGCAACAGCAGCAGCAGCAGCAACAGCAACAGTACCGGCAGAGCTTGCAGCAGCCAAGCCAACAAGTGCCACATTCGTGGGCTGCTGTGCTGTGGAAAGAGACCCTTCCACAGCAGCCCAACAACATCAACTACTACAACAATAATTGCCAACTACAGTGCCAGTTCTACTCCAGAGATAGGCAGTTTCTAAATGAAGATTGGATTCTTTCTGCAATTTTCATAATTTTGAGAAAGTTCTATGCTTTGTCTTCTCTTCTCAATTCACAGACTTCCAAGTCTGAAGCAATTTCCAAATGGTTTCTCTGTACAGAGAATCCAGAGTAGTTCCGCAGTAATCTTGAATTATCCTGCTCATCTCATTCGTGTTCTTTCCATACCAAATATATCTGATATGGCTTCCATGGATTCAATTATTGGATTTGCTATTCATTTCATTGTTTAATAAGCTCAAACGGGTTACAATATTGTTCTGGCAAGTAATATAACCCAATCGGTATTTCTTTTGAGCTTGGGCGAAATCTGAGTTAAGTCCATTGCAGCCAATTCCCACTGTACGGCGTAGCACTATTATCTGCTCTTGCCGGGGCTGCCTGCCTCTCTCTGCACTTGGCTGTTTTTCTTTGCCGTCAATTGGAAGAAGAACTACCAGCCACTGGGAGTACGGGAAGCGCGCTTTACTTTCGCTCAGGCGACGGCGACAGCAAAACTTTTAAATTGGTTGGCAACACTTGCAGCTTACACATAGACACACACACACACAAATACAACCAGACACATACAAACACAACCAGCCACCCACTAACAGTCACATACATACTTAATGTTTGTTTTGGAAATGAATTTGGCAATTTTTGTACTGCACTGCCGGAGGTGCTGCTGCTGGATGGGTGGGATAGGGGATATGCGGAGGAGCAGGAATCAGCCTGTGAGTGGCAAACGGAGGCGAGAGACAGCCAGGCAACACCTCAAAGTAATTTGCCAGCAAATCATTGGAAAGAGTCGACTCCACCTCCCAAGCTTCAGGCCAAGGAAGGAGCAGCGCTTCGGTATCAACCCAAAAGTATGCAATGCCGATTGCGTTACATACATGCACACAATCATAGCTGTGTACACTCGGAGAAAACAAAATGGGAAACTCTTATATTAATGAAGTATTTTCGATGCTTCATTTGATATATTAATTTTCAAGTCAGACATTTCTGATAAACTGAAAAAAATGGAATGAGATTGATTCGAATTAATTTTAGCAACTCACATTTCTTTATTTTTTTTCTAGTGTACGTACATGTATGTGTACATATGTATGTTTCCCAGTGTGTATATGTGTGGGTAAAAAACCACTAAAGTGAAATGCATTTATCGACCGCAAAGCGTTCGAAATGAAATCTGTTTAAAGGATTTTAATACCCTGGCAAGAACGTGGAGTCTGTGTAAGGAATCGAACTGGTTGGTGGCTTGCTGGATGACTGTCTGGCAGGTTGGATGGGTGGCTATACGGGTGCGGGTGGAACACAAAAAGTCAATGAATTCGTTTGGCGAATTGAAAAATTAATTCAGTTGCCGTCGCTGGCATTGATAAGGAGAAGCCGAGCACGAAAAACTTTTACATGCCGCTTTCATTTTATGTGTCTTTATCTTAACGCTCTCTCTCTCTCCTCCTCTCCTGTATGTGTGTGTGTGTTTGTACTTACTCACACACTGGCAAGCTTTTTACTTACTAATGATTTCTCATTTCGCTTACGGTATTTCTCTCCGGTTCGAGTATTTGTGCTTTTTGTCTTACTCTGCGTTTTACAGCTACACAGAAATATACATACATATACATAGTACGAGTATATCCTTGAGGGAAACAGGACAACCCAGCCACCCATCTGGGGGACTGAGGCCAAATTACTCACTGACGTTGTTGTGGATTTTCCTCATTTCGCCCCCAACGCTTTTCCTCTTCACTGGCAACGGCAACGGTAACGGTAACGGCAACAGAAACGAAGAGCAAAGGAAATTAAGCAAAAAGCGCAAAGATTTATTTCGCTTTGATCAAAATTAAATGAATTGATTTTAATACGCCCCGTGGGCAAGATATTTCCTACGCTTTTGCAAATGAAAACGCATAAAAAAGGTGTTGGTTGGCCTTGTGGGCGTGGTCGTGGCCCGTCGCTGGTTCTTCGTCGCTGGTCGTTCGTCCTGGGCTTGGAGCTCGTTGGCAGCTTTATTTAATGCCAGCGGCCATTACTATTGAGTAGCTTTAGCCATGCTTCCGTGTGTAGACGTATCTGTGTGAGCTGTTCGAATTGCCATTTGCATAGGAATAGGTCAGGGGATGGGACAGAGTCTTCTTAAAGAGTGCCAATA